TCAAACGGAGGAAAAAAAAGAACAAGAAGAACTATCGTACGATTTATCGAAATGATAATGGAACAGCTGCGATTTCGCGGTTCAATTGCGCGTTCAAACGCTTCACGCTTGATAATAAATATCGTTTGTAATAATAATTATTAAACGTAATTTCAAATGTGATAAAAAAATTCGTATTATGACCACAGCTTGTAGGTGATGTCACAGATAGGGTAAAGGTACTTAATATCAATCGGCAGTACATAGAATTAGTAGCTGAAGATGTGTAAGAAGACATATTGTAGTTACAATATGTTATAGAAAGAACGTCGGACTCAGGAGAGGCATTAATTTTGAGTGCTGAAAAATTTAGCAGAGCAAGTCCGACATCCCGTAGTGAGGGTGTGAGTTCAAACATTCTTTTAATCTATAACTAGTGATATACCTCACTATTTTTTACTGATTTCAACGTGTACGTTTTTGTTACGATGTTTTTAGTGTCTAGATTAGAATGCACTCAATATCGCCCGCCATATTATTACGGAGGTGTCCGTGACAATATGCGCCTAGGCGACATCACGTGCATGCATTTTTAAGAATAAAAAAAAGAGTACAAATTGACTCGACGTAAAAATATTGTATAATATTGCATAACTTAAGATATGAGAAATCAAACTTCGGCCAGTTCTAGTCAAATAATATTACTTGTTTGTGGTTTATCGCTGGCGAAGAAAATATTCACGTCACCTCGGGCGATAATAAAAATTGCCGTATGTAATAATCTCCGATATTGCAAGACAGACACCATGAAAAGTTGTGGCCATGAAATAAATTTTTTATACGTACGAAAAACAGAGATAAAATCCCCCCCCCCCCACGATCAAAAATATATAACAATCTCCTTCAGCATTATCGAATTTTCTACCAAATGTAAAAAGGAATCGTGGATATTTAATTTCTCGCAATCAACCTCGTATCACAAATGTGTACTTAAAATATACGGTTGCACGAAGTTACTATTTGCACTCGGTATTCCATGTAAATTTATCCGATGGTACGGATTTTAAGCAACAGAAATCGCTAATGTATTAACTTAAACTATCGACGAGTAAACATTACAATATAATTAAGCGCGGATAAGATTAATTGGTATTTAATTCTTCAATTAAACGTGTCGCGATGAAATTCGACTCAAAGTTCTGCATTCTGACCAGCATTTGTACGATTCCGTTAATAAGAGAAACATTTCAAGATACTACAATTTTAACATAAGTCCTTTAAGATATAAAATCAATTAGAAATTAAAGAGGCCGTTTAGGACCGGGCATAGGTGTAAGTAGCCAGTTAAATGAAATTATTTAAGTGAATTCATATACCGTATTCTTTTCCAACTTATCCTGTGCGCCAGTTACATACTAGTCTTAAAACACAGGTTAATCCCCGTAAGTGGAAGTGTTATCGTCAGTGAATTCACGTTTATAAATTATTTTAATAATGCTCCACAGTAGCATCTAATATGATAACCCCCTTTCCCCCTTTTCACTTAAATAATTCACTTAAATAATTTTATTTAACTGGCTACTTACACCTATGCCCGGTCCTAAACGGCCTCTTTAATTTCTAATTGATTTCAAGATACATTTTCGTTAATAAACGAAAAACTTGAACATTATACATTTTAACATCGACACCGTACAATAAACGCAACTGAGTTAACGGCTAATCGAGACACAATCGTCCGAAAAAAATTAAAAATTCACTGTCTCATATATATTTTTATTTATATAAATTCCGTAAAAAATATATAAACTAGCAGTATTAATAAATCATCGATAAATGCTAGTTAAAGCACTCGATTCAATATTTCGTGTATTATTTCTCATTTTCAATCTAGAAACAGCCAACAAATTATACTCGAGGTGACGAGAGACTCACTGCGATGATACGAGATGTATCCGAATACAAGCACCGTTTAAAGAAGCAATTATCGTCCGTAATTATCGCAAAGAAGAAATAATTTCAAGTTCGCTAGCGCTTTGATTCTTGGACGTATCGATCTCATGTACACGCACCGGCATAAATGTTGTCCCTATCCTTGTAAGGTGCACGCACACAACTACAGGGACTCTAGTTGTGTGCGTGCACCTCGCAAGGATAGGGACAGCATTTATGCCGGTGCGTGTACGAATCGCGTTAGATATCTGTCTTGTTGGCTAACCGAGCATAAATGGCAAATCGCGGGGATTTAGCGATCATGCGTTAATATCGATCACAAATTATTCGCAGAGAGCGATCGTGATTTCTTCCCGTATTTGTCGCGAACGCGTATCAAAAAACAATATAGTACAAGATACGGAACGGCGAGGGCATAACGAACTCGTTCAACTGTCGCCGCGTGAACGACCCCGCGTACGGCGTGACCTTGTTTTGCCGAGATTCGAAAATATGACGTAGCACTATAGACCGAGCGTCGTAAACAACTCGGTCGAAAGCCGAGCGTCGATTCCAAGAAATGACGTAGCGCCGCGAGCACCTCGGACAAAAACAGTCTATTGAGTCGGAATTAGTCGTCGCGGATCAGTCAAGCGGTACGTGCGTGTTCGCGTCGCTCCTCGTAACCTGATCGTCTCGTACAAGAGATGTTAACATTTATCAATCGCGTTTAGATAATTGTCGCGATCCGTACGAAAGTGCGCGTATAACATAAAGTTTCCATTTTCGTCGCGTTCGGGAGTGCCGTTTAAATAATCGAACCAAAGACTTTTCAAAGCCAACTTGAGGGACAAGTATTCGTGAAATGTCCGTTCCTGTCGATGGCCACACTTTCGAGATTTGGCAGTATTTTGGGTATAATACTCGTCGACTCGAAGTGGAGGCGAACTTGACGGAACAGAATACATACTTTCACGTGGGCTTAATAATCGGGAGTGTAAAGTCGCGCGAACGATCTTTGTGTTTTCGCGAGTGTACTGGTGGACAATCTGAGTGGAGGCGGCGGCCTGGGAGAGGCATCAGGCGCCAGCGGAGCAACTTTAAGGTAAATATTGTTTATTTAGTGTAAAATTAATCTTTCTTCCAGTTCATTTCTGAGTCGTTTTGTTTCGTAATTATATAATTTGGAAATAATAGTTATAGAAGAAGAAATGATTAAAAATTTTATAAAAGTTTCTTCTCGTGAAAATCTTTTGCGAATTAATATCCAACCAAATAAAACGTTTGATACGCATAAGAATTACTCATATTTTACAATACTAATTTTCATCAACACTGCTTTAACGATTTCTTTATTTTTGTGTTACAGATTCAACGTAGTCTAACTCCGCTGCTGCGCATCCGGTGGTAAGTCGAAAACTTTTTTTATTAAGGCAACGAATCTACGTTTTGTAGATCGTAGATTGTAGTTCGTAGATCGTAGTATATCTCGTAGATCCGGTTGCCGTAAATGGATAGAGTACATACAACACAATTTCATATTTATTTTTATATATTTTATCTATCGAAAGGCAGTGATCGTGGTTTTCGCTGTGGAGGGTTGAGTGCCCCGTTGCAGCAGATCACATATTTTTACGCAAAATATGACGAATATTTATTAAAGTATTATTAATTATTAATAATTATTAAAGTATTCGTCGAGCTAATATATTGTAGCCTATCCATTTTTCATTAACAAATTTATATATGAAGTAAAACAAATGACGTGAGATTCTGATATTGTGTCGAGCACGCTAAAATTTTATATTGTTTTCTTACATTATTTGAGATTATTGATTAACTAGAATATTCAATTGTTGATCTATCTATTGTACGGAAAGTTTCTTTTCTCCGTGTCTCACGTCATTTATTCTGTATATGTATGTTGCTTTCAAGATGCGTCTTGCATGAATACATGCATAGTTACACGCATCTTCGTATTTTCGCGGTCGGTCTTCGCGATCCGTTTTTCAGAAAATTTTCAACAAGTTATTAACTGTTTAATTTCATCCATATTATAAATTTTTCTTTATCGCGAAATGTAATTAAAATAAATATAACGCGAAGTGAATTTTTTTCTTGATACATATATACTTTTTAGAATTTGGAGATTGAGTCGCGAAGAGACAGTGACACTATCTATTCTCGAATAAATAACAGAAGTAAAACTGTATTTGATTAGCTTTATACCGCACAATTTTTTAATTCATTTTCTTCTTTTGATTAACTTCTCGTGGTCGTTCGAACCGTACGAAATATCTGTCGGTGATAAACCGACTATGGAAGGAGTTTTCTTCCTTCCTGATCTCTGGTCAAAATGACCAGACTATATGGCCAGGAGCAACGAAAGGTAGGTCCAATCTGGCCCAACGAAAGAAGACTGGATACAACGGGGTAAGTGGTCAATATTGGCCACTTCGATGGAGTATGTGAGGAAGGTGATTTGCGAAATAAGTTGATTTGTTCTTATTTATTAAAATTCGGGTGGGTTTTATTCTTATCTTCTTTACATCTCGCATATGTGCGAGATTAACAAGACTTCTATTAAATCCCATTCACGCGCGTATAACTCCAAATCGGACCCGTTATAAATCGCGTCGCGGTTTTAACGAAAAACTTGTAGGTTTATTAAGAAAAAGTTGAAACGCAAGTAGGTAGGAAAATGGATAGGAATATACAGTGGAATACGGGTAGGCAGGGATTCGGATAGGCAGGGACAGGGGGACGTAACTCGATAGTTAATAAGATAGATTAAATTATAACTGCAACGTATTACTATAAATATATTTGCCATTATTTATTAATAAAACACTGTTAACAACATATATTTCTAATAAAATCTTTTTTAAATAAAAAGCTCCATAAGTTAATGTTTTTAATAACACGTATTAAATTAAACTAAAATAATTATTTTGAAAAATTGTGAAAAATCACTTTGTAAAGAAAAGAGGACCGCCGATCGAAATTGGCGGGGGTGGTGGAGGGCTTCATATTTCTGCCATGCACTTTCATTGTAAACGCAATATCGTGCAATATATTGACACATAACAGTGGCGTTACATTAGTATTTATTCTATATCCAATATTACAATTTTATTGGGCAATCTTGGCCAATACAATTTCAAACTCCCAACATAACCAATGTTTGTCCAATGTTAGCCAATGTATAGCCAATGAATTGTGCTACTAGGGAACCTATATTGTACATGGAATACAAATGTTTCCTCTTTCATTTGAGACAAAATACAGAGAAAAATGTCAATTACTAATTATGTGAAAACGATTTGAATTTTGGTAAGCGATATTAGGTGCCTTTGCCATATAAAACTTTTTTAGGAAAGGGGGATTTAAGATCATACTTCAACATTTCAAAATGTCTACTCTCTCTCTCTCTGTCTCTGGTTCCAGTTTTTTCTTATGTAATATTCTCGCATTACTAATTCAGTTATGATACGAAGTAAATGTCTCTCTCCCCTGGATTACTCGTCACGTTGTAAAAGTTTCCACTTAGAATTATATATATATTCTTTTTGTACGTTAACACGCGGCTCACGTGCTTGTTATATCTTCAATTTTGTAGGCACAGGCAAACAGTTGGCACATTTAGGAATGTTTGGATTGATTTTTTGAATTTTTATTGTCACGTACCGGTCTTTCTCCACAAAATTCGACTTGTCTGCGCATCACGTACGGCCTATGGTTCGTATCATGCGTTTTCTGAGACTATCGTTCATTTATAGGGCAATCTGTAAGCCACAAGCGGACACGTTGACGAATGCTTCGTGACACCGTAGAACTGGGCCGGTACTCATAACGCATTTACATTCCTTTCAATGTCGTGCCACGTTCAGTAGAGGCCACCTCGCGAATTGATATTCCTCACTCGAGTTCTTCGATTTATCGGCCGCCCCTATAACAGCCATAAGTCTTATGTACGGAATAGCACAGCGAATGTTGGATTTGGCTAAATATCTGTTTCGATTAACGAAGCGCTTATCGTACTCATTGTGAAAAAGTTTCAGAAATTCTCAGTTAACTTTGTAAATGATACAATTACAGATGGTCTCTATTGCAATTAGAAAAGCATACAATATTTACTTTAGTGAAATAAACTTTCCGCAAATAAATTTTCAAAGACTTTTTCGCAGTGTAGTATTTTTACATATACGTTCAAATGTTAATATTAAAGTCGGAACTTTGAAATGCACATTTTTGGAAAAAATTTGGTCATTATTACTGAATTTGATAATAATGGCAAAACGTTTGATAATAATTGTAAACATTTTGAAAGAGTAAATTTTGCATTTAGTTAAGTTAACTAAATTCCGCAATGTTTTAATGAATTTATATCGTCATAATAATCTATGCGTTTAGTTGAAACTATTTCACCACAGATCTAGATAACATTAACCAAGCTTGGAATATTATAACCAAGCCGAGACATTAAACGACGGTAGATTTTCGTACGGGTTTCGAAAAGAGAGTTCGTGTAATTTTGTCAGGAGATGAAAAAAAACTTGACGTGACGACCGACGCGCCGGATGACGAGTGGAGCGCGTAAGTATTCAAAGATCGATCGGGACTCGACCTGGTTCGTGAAAGGGTAAAGCGCGCGTATCAGCGGCCACGCTTGTTATTCCGCGCGTATCCCGTAAGTAATAATAAATTATAATTCCCTTTTGAAATAGGCGGATGGCATGTAGATACCTCACGCGGGCAAGTGCGGCCCCATATTTACGATTATAATGTCCGCATAGCATTATTTCGATCTGGGAAACGCGAACATGACGGAATGCCGAAGAGGTCTCTATCATGCCGTCGCATAATAATACTTACATGCTCGTCAGTATGGTGATATTTGTACATACGGTTAGATTGTGAATTGCTATTCGGATCAGATATGAATATGATTATAGCGCGCGCGCACAATGCGAATGGCGGCGCGCGAGAAAGGTTTTTGCGGCAAACTCGACGATGAAGATATAAAATAACGTTAGACGCTGGGCTGTTTCATCGGAATTCTTGACTTTTAATGCCGAACGCCGGGGATAAAATCGGCTCTTTACGATTATTACGTTTCGCATGTTTGTATACGTTGCATTACAATATTATGTTTATTGCGGCAAGATAAGTGTTTTCTCTGTGAATATACGGAATGGTGAAAATTTGCATTAGAACGAACGCACTGACAACGTAATGTTTCGTAAATTTGCGCAAAGTGGCGAAAAATTAATTTCTAAATTACGACGTAAAACAGATATCGCGGTGGAAAGGAAGAGGTACTCTTTTTTTTCTTAAATATATATAGATACTTTTTTCAGCGAATTAGTAAAAGTTCGAATGATGTAATTCACGTTGCTTCGAAGAGCAGAGCTAAGCTGCCACGGCAGCTCGTAAGATTGCGTTATAAGTAGCCTTGTTTGCCGTCTAATTGTTATTTCCGAAGAAACGTACGATGCATTAGAACATGATCACGTATGTGATACGTCACTTTGGTGCGTGGTGTTCCGCATCGTGCGTGGGAACTGTCCAGGTCACGCGTCTACGCACCGCGTGCGGAATTATTAAGTGGCCTGAGGAAACATTAGTTTGCTTCGAACGATAGTACCCACGTAGAATTGCAAGGTCTATGATTTTGAGTACGAACTACCGTATGCGCTAACTTGCAAAGTAGTTACGTTACGGAAAGAGGGAATCACTCAAGTCCGAAGGGGTGACGGTTGAGTATTCGGAAAATGCGTTTGAAAAGGTATTAAGCGCGGTCTTAGCGAATAGGCGCGGGAACGAAATGAAGCGAAATATTCATAGAGAAAGTCGCAACGGTAAGAGCCTGTGGGGGGAAAACGTTGGAAAGCAGCAAATGATCTGAGATTGCAAAACGCTCACGACTTTCTTCGCGTTGCGTAACTTCATGATTAACTTATTACGCGGTTTCGGGATGATCCTGGTATGCGTGGAATTTTGTTGGGTTATATATCTTCGCTTACGCGTCTTGATGGGCAACGGGCTCATTTCTCTGACGCTATATAATTTCCCTGTTATATATAAATCGTTGTTGCGAGCCGTGCGGGCAGTGGGTGTAGTTACGAAAAATTTGGTAATTCTGTTATGTATCAGTTTCGATTCTTTAGATACGGTAAAGACAGAATACAAAGAAATCGTCGCATGTGTCTATCTTCTACGATATATTCGCTATAAGTTAACAATTTAATAGATATGAGATTTTATTGTGCTATGTAACATATATTTTTTATACATTAAACAATAATACAATGTATATCACTAAATACAAATGTATTACAGAATTAGATCTCGTGTCTATTAAATTATTACAAACAGACATACAATATGTGTGTGTAACAAAATATAACAATATTAAACGAGGTCTTTGATTGCAAATCGAAATGACGTTAGAATCGACAATTGTAGCGCACCGTGAGTTAATTTTCGTGAGAAAACGAAGTTAAATTGCAAGCTGCGTGATTTTTAGCGACAGATATTTGTTATTTCGTCGTGCTTAAAGAGTTTGCTGCAAGGGTAGCCTTTTAATCTCACGTCAATTCACATCAACCGATACATCGGTAAACGTCCCGAACGATTTTGGTAGCGTTGATACCGGATTATGATTGTGTCGTCCTGACAATCATACAGATCTCCCAATCGTTAAGAGTAAGTTTATTCTTGAGTCCTGAGGGATCGTTTCCTGGCATCACCGTCAACTCGGACGAAGAGGGTGGTGCACGGGAGTTTTACACATAAATCTGGTCTACGTACGGGAGCGATTCCTCATGGGAGTTAGACCAGGAAAGGATGGGAAAGGACTCGTGGAACTCTTCTCTTTAAAAGACCGTCGAGAATGTGAGAACCGACTGTCGTCTTTTTTTAGTTTGCAAGCGAGCTTCGCCTCTTTCTTGCGCGCGATTCTTTGAATTAAAACGTTAACAGATGACTCATATAAATGTCATATGTTATATCACGCCATGATTAATATCACGCGACCATATCGCGAAATACCCTTACAATCGACTTTTCACGCATCACAAATGATAAATGTTTATCTACACATCGGAATTGGATATTTCATCGATCAATCCTCGATTTCGATTTTGGCCCCAATGCAACAATTTAATTTTACATTCCAATTCCATTGTCTAATAATATAAATCGATATCGAATTATATTCGCACATTAGCAAAGTAGACATAAATTAAATTGTACATTTTTAATACGTATGCGTTGCCAATTACGAAGGTACTTGAAGAAGGATAATTTTCATTCTCGAGCTAAATTAATTTTACGCAAACAAATTATTTTCTCCTGTGCACATTGTAGAACCAGACTTTGGGGGGGAAGTCTCAGAATGAAATTTTGATCGAAGAGAATTCGTTTCAACTATTTACATGCCGAGCTCATCGCATTTTAAGAAATGCATAATTCTTAAAACACGAAGGCAACTCGTGTTTTCAGCTCGCGTCTCTTCGATTGTAGATCGTGTCCGATCGACAAGACCGCATTGACGATTCAGGGAAATCTTTTGTAATTTCCAAAGCGCATTTTTTTTTGTACGAAATACGTAAAATCGTCAAGGAAGTCCTTAAACTCTCCGAGAGATGGCGGAGCATAGGCATTCCTCGCAGTTTCGAGATCCCGTGGGGATGACTGATCCGCGCAGTCATTCGAGTTTAGCGAATCTACGAACTCGAGCTCGATACACTGCGGGCACTCACACGTACGCTTACGTATTACACGCGTCTACATACACGCGCGTAGCATAATAAACATGGAAAACTGAAGACAGGATACGACGCAATTTAAGAGTGATAAGAAAAATCGGGACGAAAGCTAAATTCATACACTTTGAGCATGCAATTGAAGCGGAATAGCGAAGGCTAAAAATAATCACTTCTATTCCGTGATTTTTAATTGAAAAAGAAATTATTTTTGCCTGTGCGTCTACTGTCCTTCCATCCCGACCCGTTTCTTTAATCAGGCTTGCTTTTGTTGCACAGTTTCTGGTAAATATGGACTAACTAAGTCTCTCTCAAAAGCCGAACTGGTCAATTGCACGAGATAAAATTATAGATGCGCTGATTAAGCAAAATTAATGAACATACAAAATAATCGTGTACTCCGACGAACTAACATTAAGAAGCTACATAAAGTGGAGTTGATTTCTCACACATTGGTCGATGCGATGCCTAAACATAATCTTGGGAATTCGTGCAATTAAACTGCTAGCTGCATACATACCGCGGTATAACTCGACATTTAAATCGTTTCGCAATACGATAAAATCTAACATCCACTAATTGATCCATTGTCCCTTGCGTCTTTTCGTTTTATTAAATTATCTTTCGGTACACCTGGCGATAAATTTCCAATCGCCGCTGTTTTCTGGACTCACCTCGGACGAGCGTATCGTGTATTGCGCAATCGCAATTATCGCCCGCGTACTCGTGCACTTCCGTGATATTATCCGCCGGAAGATGGGTCATCTTTTGCGATTACACGGAATAAGCGCGGCGAACAAGACCGGCGCTGATTTATGCACGCACGATAAATGACAGCGACGTAGTCGACACAGCGAACAAACGTAAAATACGTGCTTTACTTGCTTATCTATGTAAGAAGTTACTTGTATCTTCACCTCTCTTTCTTCCTCGGCTCACGTACGTGCGTCGACTCACACGTTCGTTCCCCGTATCTTCCTATTCTGTTCGCGCGCTCGTGCGCCAGACGAATTAGCCGGATTAATTGAAGCGCCGAGGTCGATACGAACCTAAGGCAGCGAGAAGTGCGATACGTTTTCGAACGTGGCAAAAAAAAAGAATTTTGCAGCCCCCGCTGATATTATTTCATGGCTGGGATTTTGACGAATTGATTTTAATGAAAATGCCTGAGACACCGTTG